ACCTTACTTAGATAAGACATAATTAACGTGACTCAGGAAACCAGATTGCTAAACAGGACTATATCCACAGATAATAGGGGTTAGAATGCCAACACATATTTGGAACTTAACCCATATTAGTGTTTTAAAAAGTATGCAAAAAGTACAGCGAGAAATATAGTAAAACCACCACCAACCACAAACAAAAACCAGCTCACACTCTTTCCTGGCTCTCTGAAGTCTTGAATCTTTCGACCATCTTAATGTATCTCCTTAACGAAAATGCATTCATATTGTTTGCATTCTGATCTGCCACCATTTCTCGCCCACTCTTTCCCTCTTCCTACTACCTTGCCAGTATCTTTTCCATGCCAACCAACACAGATTGACCTCATTCCGCAGCCTGTTGAGTTGTGTGGCTCGACTAACCTTCCCCCTGGGGACATCTGAATTGCTCCCAGCATTCCACTCCTGTAGCCCACGCCTCAGCGGGCATCCTGGGACACACCCTGGCACACATTGGTGGTGGCAACTTTCCCTGCAGAAACAGTAAGAGAAAAGAGATAGATGAGTTTGAAGTGTTGAGCAGTACTGCTAATTTGCCCCGCCCCAAAGATCTGCATTAGAAACGGTTTTTAATATTTCAAAAGGCTTGATGAAAAGGACATCAATTCCCTGCAGTACACTGCTTGGCTGAAAGGCCAACCCCATTGGGATTGGGTTGCATTCTTTTTAGAATCATTTTATTGGGGACTCATACAATTCTTCTCACAATCTGTTCATCCATTCATCGCGGCAAGCACATTTGTACATTTGCCATCATCATTCTCAAAACATTTTCTTTCTACTTGAGCCCTTGGTATCAGCTCCTCATTTCCCCCCTCCCTCCTCACGCCTTCCCTCATAAACCCTTAACTATATATATATATATATTATTTTGTCATTTCTTACAGTGTCCAACATCTCCCTTCACCCACCTTTCTGTTGTCTGTCCCCCAGACCCCCAGGGAGGAGGATCTATATAGATCCTTGTAATCGGTTCCCCCTTTCTACCCCACCTTCCTTTCATCCTCCCAGTATCGCCACTCTCACCACTGGTCCTGAAGGGTTCATCTGTCCTGGATTCCCTGTGTTTCCAGTTCCTATCTGTACCAGTGTGTATCCTCTGGTCTAGCTGGATTTGTAAGGTAGAATTGGGATCATGATAGTGGGCAGTGGGGGAGGAAGCATTAAAGAACTAGAGGAAAGTTGTATGTTTCATCATTGCACAATTGGGTTGCATTCTTGTGAGCCTGGTTATTTCATTTCATGCCTGCCCGCCAAATCACAGGACACAGCTGGCAGCTTTATGACTTCTGATGAATAAAGATATTACTAATGACATACAGACCATTTCCAAATCTGCGGCCTAGCTAGAAAAAGGAGAGATGGCTGTGGTCACAGGAGGGCAATGAACCACTACCCTCCTAGACCAACCTTCAGAATTAGAGCACCATGTGGGTGTGTCCACTCAAGTGCCCTAGGCACAAGAGCCAGTGACTGGGATTGGATGGGCAGTCAGGAGACTAGAGTCTGGTCTGAGGCTTGCCCCTGATTTTCCACTTTGGGACAATGGACAAAGCTTAAATTCTTGGGGTTGAATTTCAGATAATCTCAAAATCGATAGTTTTCTATTGTGTGTCTAGAGAGGTGTTACATCAACAGTTCTCAACCTGTGGATCGCAACCCCTTTGGGGGTTGAATGATCCTTTCAGAGGGGTCACCCGATTCATAACAGTAGCAAAATGACAGTGATGAAGTAACAACGAAAATAATGTTATGGTTGGGGGCTCACCACAGCACGAGGAACTGTATGAAAGGTTCCTAGCATTAGGAAGGCTGAGAACCACTGTGTTACTTTGTCTCTGAAGTTAATCAGTGGAGCAGATCTAGTTAGTCAGAGTAAAGTAGTGGTGAGGTTTTTGCTGTCACAGGCAAGACAGGATGCTCCTCGCTCTGCTGATGTGGCAATTTGAGATAGGAAGTTGTTGCTTAGTTTTGTGCACCAGAGTTTCCAAATGAGAAGTTCCAAATGGAAGTTCTGGTTGTGACAGATGTGTGTGTGGGTGTACTGAGCACAGATGGGGATAGGTATGCGTAGGTGTTTGTATGTGTATGTGCAATTTGGACTCAGGTGGGGCAGGTTGTGTGTGTGTGTTTGTGTGTGTATGAGATGGATGGAGGTGACAGAGGTCAGCGTGTGTGTGTGTGTGTGTGTGTGTGTGTCTGTGTGTGATGGACACAGGTGGGTCAGGTGGTGCTAGAGGGCACCATAGGGAGAGAGTCCTTTGTGCAGTGATCGATTACCCAATAACAATTCACTGTTTTTCATGACATCAAAGATTCTCCTCCTAGGGTTGGCTGCCATCAGCCCCTCTCCCAAACCACTGCACCTTTTTCTCTAGAACCTAAGCCTCCTCAGAATTACAACCCCTGACAGGGACAGAGTGCCCAGGGAACAAGGGAAGCCCAGGCTGACACCTGCTGACATTGTTAGCCCCTGCTTGCTGGACCACCGGGCTCGCTACGTGGTCCAGTCCTTTCTCTTTTGTTCTTAGTATTTTCTATCCAGCCTGGTAAACAGGGAGCAGCTGGTCCCCTGCGGAGCTCCCAAGAACAATTGATTTGAAACTTTGGGGAGGGTAAAGGATCTGGGGGGGGGGGGGGGGCAGCGGAGAGCTGCCTAATGGGCTGGAAGGTGTGGACAAAGGAGCAGGTAATGAGGCAGGGCTTGCTGGGTGCCTGAGAGCTGGAGAAAGTGCAGACTCGGGAACCTTCCCTCTGAAGCCTGATCCCCTGCAGTGTCTGCCTGGTGGGGGTTAGAGACCAGCATTCACCCAGGGGAGACTGCAGAGGATGTTTGCTCTGCCCTGTCTTCCCTGTTTGCACAGGGATGAAAAGTGCCTTATGTTTGTTATCATCCAAGTATGGAGGGGAAGGGGAGCGGGAAGCCCCAGCTGAAACAGAGTTTTCCATGTACACAATGGACGTAAGACAAAAGTCAAGTCCCTTGCCCCCTGCTTGCCCACCCCCCCAAGTCTATCTATTCACCCCTCCTTGACCCCCAGGGTGACTCTCTCTGCCTCTGAGTACTGTCCTTCACCCACACATTTTTTTGCCCCCAAGCCCTGTCCCGCTTAGGGACCTTCTTCCCTTGAGATCTTTTGTAAATCTTAAAAATGAAAGATGCTGGCAACATATGTACAAATATACTTCATACCACTGATGTATACATTGTTATAAGAGCTGTAAGAGCCCCCAATAAAATGATCTTTAAAAAAAGAGTTTTCCATCTCAGAACCTCAGTTTCACTGATTGGTTCTCTTCATCTTTCAGGGTTACCTTGTTCCGGGCACCTCGCAGGGCAGCCTCGGGAAACCAGGGTGGAGAGGGGAGGACAGGGCAGTCCCCTTTCCATCCCTGTGCGTGGCCTTCTTCACACTTGCTGTGTAGATCTGAACCCTGCCAGAGGACCATGATTTGGCTTTAAACATCAAATTAAATCCACTCCCATCGAGTCAGTTCTGACTCATGGCAACCGTACAGGACAGAGGAGAAAGGTCCTGCAGATTTCCAAGGCTGCGAATCGTCCCGGGAGCTGACAGGCCTCAGCTTTCTCCCTCTTGAAAGGGCTGGTGGGTTCCCACTGCTGGCTCTTGGATGGCAGTACACTCCAGAACTCCCTCCGACATGCCACCAGTTTGGGCTTATGTGCCTGGAGTGGCTGGCAGCAGTGCAGACTGCTCTCCCTCCACTTGTCAGAAGGATGGGCAGGAAGGAGACAGCGTGCGAACAGCTGACAGGGAGTCACCGCTGATTTTATGGAGGAAGACGACCAAGAAGCACAGGTCCTGGATTCCAGTGCTAATGGCGATGCTTTGACGCATTACGGGTCCAACCTAGACAAGCCGCTGGGGCTTGGAGCATCTCATCTGCCCCCACCTGTCCGCTGAGATGAGCCCTGGTGGTAGAGCGGGTTACCGTTGGGGCTGCTCAGCCCAAGTTCAAAGCCAGCAGCCTCTCCTTGGAAGAAAGAGGAAGTTTTCGACTCCCATAAAGGACTATCACCTCAGAAAACCGCAGGGGTATTTCTGCCCTGCCCTCAAGGGTCGCTATGAGTTGGGTCTGGCTAGATGGCAGAGTGAGAGTTTGAGACCCCTCTCCATAAATGAGCATTCCTGCAGCAAGTGGGCAGACGAAAGGCAGGGCATGGCATTCCTGCTGTTCAATGACCTTGCCTTCATGCGGGCCACTGAGACAAAGGCCTCCCGGCTGTGATTCCTCCTCAGCGGGGATGCCCTGAGGACCAGCTCCAGGCTGTTTCCAGAGCCTGTTAGCATCTCTGGCCTATTCACTCAGGACAGCACTCCCTGCCACCGAGTGGACTCCGACTCACAGCCACCCTACAGGACAGGGCAGAAGTGCCCCCGCCGGTTCCCAACATGGTCACTCTTTACAGGAGTAGAACCCCCACCATCTCCCACTGTGTTTGAGAAATTCTGGCTTAAGGAGGAGTTCAGGACCTTAGTGCAAGAGCCAAAGAAACTGAGGCAAGACTGTTTTTGTAGTGGACAAGCTAATTCTTCCCGTGGATATGACGGGATGGCTGAGGTCCTCCGGTGGGAAAGGACTAGACTTCTTGCACGGTCAGCTCAGTGATGCACTGGCCTGCCAGGTGCCAGCCCCTCCTTCAGCCTACCACTAAAGATGGGTGCTTGCTTGCTTTCTAGTCTCCCATCCTTCTACCTTAGATAATTCTGATCTGAGGCACACAGGAAAGAGATATCTTGGTTTGGGCTCTTTGAAAGGGTCTGTATGACCCTTTGACTCTGTTTCAGGAAAGTCGACCCAGTCTCTCTCCCATTTGTCTTCTCCAGTCTTCCCGGACCCCAAGACTGGGTGGAGATTAAAAGTCCTTCCTGGCCCAGGGCAAGCGCCTTCCTTGGCCTCTCCTCACTTAGCTCTCTTCCATTTCTCCTTAGCATGGGCCTCCTATATGACCAACTCCCCTACTCTCATCGTGATGATTGGCTTGCCAGCCCGGGGGAAGACGTATGTGTCCAAGAAACTCACACGCTACCTCAACTGGATTGGGGTGCCCACCAAAGGTAGGTGCGAGCCACTCCTTGGGATGGGCAAGGGTCACTGGCTGGGCTGTACAGACCTCTGAGTGACATGACCTCTCTGGCGGGGAGCAGGCTGGTTTTCTGACTTGCCACATCGATTCCCTGTGCCCAGGCAGGTTTTCTCCTGGTCTGGGCAGGCTGGGCTAGTCTTGAGGGAATGCCTTCGGTAGGAATGTTAATAACCAAGTGAGTACGGGGATGTGAACTCTCAGAGTACTTGGCTGTGCTTTGTCTTGTCTGATGCCACCAGAACCCTCTTGAAATAGTTGGCAAGGGACTTGAAATTCAAAGCCGTTTAAAACTTGTGCAAGGTCCAGTAAGTCAGGGCTGGAACCTGACGGAGGTGGCTCTGAATCTGCTCTTGTTGCCAACATAGCAATATGCTTCCCC